TCCCCTCTGTATGTTGCCGGTGCAAGTATAATCCTTGATATGATGAGACATCGTCCATGCCTTGGCAGACCTTCGAACGCATGGAGTAGTAAGGTAGTAAGTATACAGTGAACATTCAGGCAGCGTCCAATCCCGCGAGGCCGGCTCGGGTAGATTCGGCCAAAGCTGTCACTAGGTACGATTATGTCCCTCTATGAGATAATTGTGTGATACTTCCGAGTGTTTCTGCAGAATATCTGCATAGTTCTCCGGATGTCGGGAAATGGCGAATGGAAGACAAGCTCTAGCAACGACTACAGTGCCGAGAGTGCGACCCGAGTTCAAGGTACCAATACAGAATCCGCTCCAGCGCGACATCAGGCGACGGTGGGGTAGATATGAAGCATTGATCAGCTGGCGCCCAAGACTGATGCGCCTAATATAAGTCTACTGGTGGCAGACGCGTCTGCAGTTTCCAGCTTTCTTCTTCCACCACCTCCCCCCCATCCTTCACCTATTCTTTAGACGTCGATGCCTTCACATGCGACCCGGCTGCTGCCAATGACCTCTTGGTGGCGCTGTGTGAAAAGGGCACCGTTTTGACTACCTCCCTTTCTCTCGCGATGGGTTGATAAATACCCCGTCCTTCGGCTGCGTGCAGTCGTTGCCAGCGGTCATGGTTCGTGGATTCGAGATGGGATTATTCATCATCCAATCCATCCTATTCTCGCAGCGTTGATGCTCTGATAACGTCGATGTGATGTCACCGTACATCCCTGCCTTCGACTAGGCTTCCGCCCTAGAAGCTCTCCGACACTCATCCATGTTCTGTCCCAATCCTCCCACAAGTCTATGCGACATACTACGATCCCGATCAATAGCCCCGCCGCTGTGAAAAGCCACGATAGAGCATGACGTCCTGGGCAAGACGTAAAACTACCTAGCGAGGTAATGGACGAGATGGTTCATGCCACGGGTCCTGGGTATGACAGTAAAATGCCCTGTGATGTACATCGGCCGATGTACAAGTCCTGATATAGGACACGAAGATGCTCGAGCGGACTTTCCGTCCTAAGCGAAGCCGGCGTTAGCGCAACGCCATCGTCCTGGGCACGACACAAAAAGGCCCACGTTGTAATGATTGACAAGTTAATGACGACATGAACTGCATGGTTTGGGTTCCATTCTACGGTGCATTACAAAAGCGACTCGGTCACACGACTTTGAGACGCAGCGGATAAAGCGTAAAGCATGCCACGTGTGTAACGGGCGTTTGGAATGCTTTTCCTACATGATCGGTACGTTCTCTCTTTGTCGAGCGTCTCCGTCGCCATCAACGTACAGCATCTAACATGACATTGCAGGGTTACGATCTCGGCCACTTGGACGGTTGAGAGGGGTTCGGTTCGTACTGAGATTAAGCGAGATGCCTCAATTGAACATTTATCTCTGGCACGGTGTTAGTTTCGCATCAGCCCGGAGTTCGGCGGCTTTGACGATATAGAGAAGTCGCGCCTCAGCACTGGATGATCATGACGGTTTTTCTTTTAACATCGAATCATGCAATCATGGCACTTGGACGATACGGAAAAGTCTTTTCGATGATAGAATGAGATGCCACTAAGTGACAGTGGTTGTTATGGTATCAATCTTATGGTCGTTCTCACAGTTGGCCAATTGCTTTGCTACGGGCGTTTCGAGCATATATCAAGGTAAACAAGCAAACCTCTTATCCACATCTTCGTCTTACCTTACTGACTTCGGTCTAGTCTCCTGCAATTCCGGTCCAGCTGTCGTCCTGGGCACGACATAAAACTGCCTCACTACTCCATACGACCTGGAGTCATTATATAAGCAACATAATGAACATGAACTGTATAAACCAAAGAGAAGTCCAGGTACAAATCCAGCGTCCCAGCTGGGTTTGGGCTCATCTGACCCATCATTGATCGTTGAACCCGCCTTGAAGAGCGTGCATGCCATGTGCTCTTCGGCCGCTTCGACTTGCATCTGATGTACCTGGCGATGACCCCCTATGGGGAGTCTCGTACGAGCTGCTTAAATCACACCGACCGAGGGACCTAATTCCTCGGGCGGGCGGCCCCTTCGCTGTGGCCCAAGGTGTTCACACTCAAACACAGCGTTGGCTGGCTGCAGTGGGCGCCATGTTTGGGTTCTTTCTGAAGGAGATAAGCGCGATAGTAAGGGCAACATGCCGGAAAAGTGGTGCATCATCCCTGTTAGGGATACAAAGTTTTATGCGTCACTCGTACCGCGGCAGAAGCTACTTTGCTCCGGAGCCAGCGCCTCGGACTCGGCCGAGAAGAACCTCTCTGGGATCCGCCCCGACGTTTCTGCCCCTTTCACGACAGTGCCAAAGGGTAGGTATGTTGTGAAAGGTACGTTGGGGGTCTCCCAGAGAAGAACATGGTGTTGTGAAGTTTCAGGACTTGGGGCTGGCTGGTCGCGTCTCCGTGGGCACATTGGTGCCTAAAGCCCCCGGCTCGAACGTTTCTCCTCATGCTGCACAAGATTTTTTTTCCACCCGCGATTTTTTGTTCTTTCGGCGCACGGCAGAAAACACTGTATGTACAAAAAACACCGTCAATTGGAGGAATCTGGTGTGGGGTTTCCCATCTAGTTGGCGTGCCTTTCGATCGCCAGACAGTAAATAGCTAGATAGTCGCAAATTCAAGCCAGACTTTGCCTTCATTCTCGCTGCTCCAGCTTGTCAAATCACATGAACACATGCAGGGAGGTCGAGGCGGCAAGGGCGCCCAGCTGTATATAATAACCCCCGAAGTGTGAGTCTATAGGACAACAAGATGCCATTTACGGTGTTGTACTAATTGACACAGTTTGTGTAACACGCATCTCGTCTCCAATTCCAGAGTCTACTATCAAAGTGCATCCGGCGGCACTTCATCGCTCCTGCGGCACTGATCCGGAGGCACCGGCGTGTCATCCATATAATCGTCCCCCGGCAAAGCTTCCCAGAGTATGGGTAGGCATCTTAGCCCGTAATTCTGTTCTGTGACTTTACATGTGGCCTCCCTGATCGAAAGCGCTACGCACTCGTGCCCGTTATCAACCTGCCCCGTGTGCGGATCCTTTTGATCATGAGTCTTGAAGTCGAAGCGCAGGTTGATGCCGCTGGGGTTGATCATACGGGATGCGTAGTCGTCCCATCCCCAGACTGAGAGGCCTTCTTGTTCTGGGGCTTGCCCTTCGTTGCAGTTCCAGACTAGGGAAGGGTTAGTGATTTGCTATGGACGATGAGGCTGTTTCTGAGCTGTGGCCAGGTTGCACAATGAGAAGGCGCGAGAGAGGCCAGATTTTATGAAATTACTTGATAATACGTACAGTCGAAGTCGTCGTTATCCTGACAGCCAGAAGAGACTCGCGTTGGTTACTTCTGTCTTTCACAAGCCGAGCGCCAGATCCTAAGAGACGGATCTATTTCCGGTAACTGGTAGGTACTGTACTCACTACAAAAATCGTCAGCACGATGTCTTAGGAAAGCAGACAAAAATTTCTTGCTTAGAATCTTCTCATACATACCATTAGGATTATTGCTGGGTCTCCAGAGGCAATTGTATCTCATTCTGAGCCTAAGCATTTGGCACCAAGCCAACGTATTTTGTCCCTAGTAGTACTTCATGTTACTGATTGCTCTTAAGAGTCCATGCCGAGCATGCCACATGGGCAAGTCCATTCTGGTGAGATGGATGGTGCTTACATTACCAGTTATCTGTCTTTTTCCGGAACATACCATTAGTTCCATCTCCAAAGAAAACGTTGAAGCAGCACCATTTGATACGTGACCAGTAGCGTCTCCCATCAGGGGGTAGCTGTCTGCTTTCCCATACGACGTGGGAGTCATCACTCTGCGCCCACACCCGCAGAACAGAAGTTACATCATCTCACCACTCACATATGATACCGTAATCGTCCATTCCTATCATTTGCATCGCACCACTCAACACAGCTTGTGGTAACCGCAGGGATGGCCTGATACGAAATCATGCATTCCCAGCCATCGTATTGCCATGCTCTTCGTACACGCGGTGAGTCGTCCCAAGAGTTGCCTATGGGTGGATAATCGCGCGACATGAGCGTTGCACTGAGTGAACCTGCGTCAGTTGCCGTGTCGGAGTCGAGTACTGGGATGGCATGGATGTGCTTGAGCACTCCGAGGAGGAAGAGTAGTATCAAAATGAGCAACATCGTGGGGTTGGCCCGTCTAAGTCAGGGAAGTCTGGGGTGGCAGGGCTGGGATATCTTCAAGGAGCTTATGTGCAAAATTATCCATTCCTTGTTGCATAGATTGATTGACATGATTTAATAGGTACAAATGCTGTTACACTGTGATTACTACGAACATGTCACTTGACAAAATGCTTGGACGAGCAAACATAATCATTGCCGAGTGAGCACTCGTTCCGCCAATCTCCGCCAAAAGCAGCAGAGTTCGACGTATTTGAACCCTAAGGTGTACCTATGGGCACATCGTCTGAGCATCTACCTGAGGAGGGCAAATTTACTGATAAGTTAGATTCTGATTGGTTTCCATCGCTTATTTCCGCGGCAACATGACCACATCCGAAACAGCCAAGTTCGGGAGACCTTGTGAATAATCTGTCGTCGGGTTGGTCAAATAAAATGACTCACTTGACAAGCGGGCTGTTCTCAGCATATGATCTGAAGAGCGTTAAAGTTCCGTATAGTATAAGATCGTCCCGTCGCATAATCAGAGCTGATAGCATTGAATAGGGATATGTCAGTGACTTCCATCAACCATGTAGTTCTTTCTTCAGACACACTCTAGAATTTTACACATGAAGACATGAATGAATCACTTTTACTGAAGTGAGCGACGAGACATACTCAAATAAACATGCTTCTTCCGCTGTCCTTCAGCGTCTGTACCCGTATCATGGATGATAGATATAATAAGTCTGGAGTTTGTCGAGGAAACAGGGCCAAAAATTGACCAAACGAAAGCAAAAAAAATACTATCCTGGTCAGTATAGGGCTTGAACCTATGGCCTTCGCAGTACTTAGTACTCCGTATGCTACGGATTAGAGATGTATGTAATTGCGATGCTCTACCAACTGAGCTAACCGACCTTTCTTGTTGTTGAATGCAATGTTTGTAATTCATCCTATGTTATGAGGTGATGTCGGATCTTCCGCGGGATACTTGGGGGAAGGTGTTCTTCGTCCTACGCCGGTCTGGAGAAGGCAGGTCCATTTTTATTGTAGACAGTGGCTAATTGCTGCGCGGAAGAAGACTTGAAAGGTATAAGGAAGCGAAGAGGTCTTGTAGCGCAAGGGGTGTCGCTGCTGATCATTCTCTGCTGGTTATATACAAAGGAGTCTGACGAGGTCATTGGGGCGCTTGTCAATACGAGAAAGTATTCAAGATAGCACATAGGCACAATTCAATTCATTTGTTATAAACAATTCTCTTCATTCTTCATGACGATTTAAGCCGTGCCGTCTATAACAAATGATCAAGACCAAGTTCCAATATCAGATACCGGATCTAGAAAGAAATTGATGTAGCGTTCACAAAAGCCTAGTTCTTCGCCGCCTCAAGCTTGCCCACGACAAGGTACTTGCCCAAGAATCTGTCCTCCCAATCATGCAAAGCCTCCATTGCCTCTTGATCCAGTCCCTCGAGCGTATCCAGAGGACCATCGAGATCCTTGGTCAACATCTCCTCATCGAAGCTGTGGCAAGCAAGACCACGGCTGGCATCGCGACCGGCAAAGTTCTCGTAGGGGCCACCGGGACCGTAGAAGTTACGGCCACTAGTGACGTCGAACACACGGCCGCGCACGGCCATGTAGACAGGCATGCCCTCCGTGCCGTTGTATGGCAGCAGGGTGCGTGGGTTGAATGTGCGGAAGACGACAGCTGGGGGCTCACGAGGGAGAGTGGCTGGTGGAGACGGCTTGTAGAGGGCGTAGGTGGTGTATAGAGTAATGGCGAGCAGGATGATGTTCAAAGGTGTTACGAAGCCGGTGCTGGGAGTTGCGTGTTAGTGTATTGTTTCCAGCGCACTACGACGATGGGGGGTAATTACCTGGCTGCGTCTTTCAGGGCCTCTTGGGCCACGCGGTCTTGAACGTAGTCCATTCTGGGGAGCGGTATGATGGTTGTACGATATAAACAGCTTGCAGAAGGCAGCCTCTGTCCGGCGTTGAGTTGAGTTTCTGTACACCGTCTCTCTCGTCTTCGGTGGTCTTCGACAGTGAGACTGTGAGATTACTAGTACTTCTTCCGCGGGGCCGGGTGAGACGGACGGACGTGGGGGCGGTTAGGTGGGCTAGCGTGGTCTGAGCACCACCTAGCCAACGTCCCAACCATCAATCCGCCAAGCTGCCAACGGTATGCCCTGCGTCAAACTACGTCACCCTGTGCTTCTTCGGTGTTCAATCTCGTCGGCTTACAAGTACGGTTGTTCGGACCCTGTCACCCTACATCAATTAGACAACAGCAATTTATTAAGACGAACAGGCTTGGATGTAGTACAATGGTAATCTGTAGGTATTTTCGAGCCATTGCACGCCCGAAAAAGCTGAAACAGTGTTGCGAACTCAACGACTCAATTGCCGCTAACGTTATGGAGTAAAACATGTTGCCTGAAACGGGCACACTTGAGACCCTCTTTGAGAGAACGGCGCGACAAGATCACCGCTTTTCGCAATTTCTTATCTCAGGAGTAGCATCGTGAACCAATGGCCTCTTTTTTAAATACATTTCCACATTGATATCACCCATACCAGCGCGACGCGACTCCTACGTTACACGATGCTTGATTTTTGACCGATTGCTTCACGAAGACGAAAGAGCCGTGTTTGCTTCTATCTTCACCAGCTTTATCATATGGCTAGCGTGATTCCACACCCGTCACCGTGATACCCTGGGCCGCAATCACACAGGCACAGATTGTTCATGAAACCAGGCGTTCTCCGCTGTAATACCCGAACTGGTTTCCATTGGGGTTCGACTTTCGAGCTTATAGAGTATCCCTGTGCCTGTACCATGATGAACGCCACGCTTGGCACTTAACAATCTTCCAAAGATGTTGCTGAGGCGTATCAACCGCGCCGCGCGACGGCTTCCCCTCTGGCTCATTCTCTCAGTTGCAGCAGCTTTCGCCCTAGAGGCGTTTTTGCATCATTGGCGATATGACCCACCACGGCCTCCAGTCGACCTTGACAAACCCTTTTTCACATCGTGCCAGGAACCAGATGTGGACGGCAAGCGCGAAAGTGCTGTTCTTATCATGCTGGCGCGGAACAAAGAACTGCAGAAAGCCAAGAAATCAGTTCGATCCATTGAGTTGCATTTCAATCACTGGTTCAACTACCCATATCTGTTCCTGAATGATGAGCCGTGGGACGAGAAATTCATCATGGAGATGAACAAGACTGCCAATGGGAAGGCTACTTTCGAGGTCATTCCCAAGGACCAGTGGACATATCCTGATTGGATGGATCAAGATAGGGCAAAGAAGAGCATAAAAGCGCAGGGTGAGGCGCACATCCCTCATGCTGGCGAAGAGGGTTACCACCACATGTGTCGGTTTTACTCTGGGTGAGTATCAGTCAGCATGGGACGCGACAGCCAATATGTCCGAGCTTGGCTAACAAGGTGCAACAGGAAGTTCTACCAGCTCGACGCTTTGAAGCAATATAAATGGTACTGGCGGCTAGAGCCAGACGTGGAGTTCAGTTGCGCCATCACATACGATCCCTTCGTCCAGATGGCCAAGCACCGCAAAGTGTACGGCTACACCATTGCACTGTGGGAAGTTGGGCGGTCATGCCCATCTCTATTCCGCACTACAGAGGATTATAAGAAAATGATGGGGCTGCCAGACCTTGCGGGATGGCGCGCCATGATAGAAGCATCGTGGGTACCGTGGCCCTTCCGTCGTATTCTCAGTTGGCTTGCACATCGCGATTCATCGGGGGATCTCTGGAGCATGTGTCACTTCTGGAGTAATTTCGAAATTGCCGACTTGGACTTCTTCCGCTCGTCACGGTATCAGAGATACTTCGAGTACTTGGATGCGCAGGGTGGTTTTTACTCTGAACGCGTATGTATCAACACAACGCAGAAACCCCTCGATCTCTCTGTAGATCTCTTTTAAACTGTAGGTTATACTAACAAGCAATCACATTCTAGTGGGGCGATGCTGCCGTGCATTCCTTAGCTGTGGGCATGCTGGCGGAACCAGCGCAGATTCATCATTTCGAAGACTTCGGATACCGACACGCTAACTTCTGGCAGTGCCCTGCCAACGCGCCGAATGGCCAACTCCCAGAGTCAGCGCTATTGAATGAGAAGAAGAGAAGGTACTCGGACGAAGTCAAAGGCGGGATCGGCTGTCGGTGTGAATGCAATGGGAAGAAAAACCGCAATCATTCGCCCTATTGCCTTGATAAGCTCAAGCGACCTGTTACTGCGAAGAAGGGGTGGTTCTCATGAAGAGAAATAAACCAGGTGTCGACATACAAATTTCCCCCCAGGATGCTTCGATCAGTGACCTTGAGCTTCTACGAAGGCGCAATCCTCGCTACAGGCTCGCTCACCACAGCGATGCCACAATGCGAGCAGAAGATGAGATTGAGAGCGACGAGTCATTTTATGAATCCTCAATTTACAGGGCATCATGAGAAGTTTTGACCGGTGGGAGTGTTTTATTTAGATCACGATACTGAGACTTTATCGTGGTTGGCATTCGATATATGGCGGCAAGGATGAGTATGAAAGATACCCAAATATTGATGATAAGGAGCATGAGAAAAGGATATCAAGTGTGTCATTCAGCATATGTTGGGATCAATGGGAAGACATATCCTAGCCATTTTGATCTGCTATCCGGGCGCAGCACAATGTTCATAGATGAGAAGAGCAAATACAATGCCCTAAACGATGAGCCATGTCCATTCCGACTCTCTGACCTTATGCTTCTAATTTGTATTTTATCATTCCTGCACATTTACGCTATGCCCCCGACAAGCCTGGAATCATTCGGGAGCAAAAGGTTGAGTCAAGGATATTTTCGAAGTCTTTGCCATCCATCCCTATTGGTTTGGTCAATCGTCCTGAAATATGGACTGTACACGGTAGTACCTCCCCCTCGTTAGGGGTTTGGTTGAAGCAGCGGATATACAGTTGAAGCTCGCCTGCGTAAGGTATATCGTAAATATCATCCAACCATGTGCCCAAAGCCAGATAAATTTTGATATATCTCGCATTTAATCTCTATTTGCCTCCTTCCAATTATGCAGCAGGACAACAAGCTGAGTGATTCAGTTGTTTATTTCATCGCTAACACTACCGTACGCGAATTGCCAGGTAGGGGTGACGCCCCTGGTTCGTCTAGACCTCAGCATAGGGGTCTCGGTCCGGAAGAGGAATAGCGCCATGCGCATGCACCCGTCAGCAATGGAAAGGCGGCAGCGAGTGACCTGATGTGGTGAGTCGGCAGTGCAGCAGTGTCACATTGAATTTTGGCCACCTGCACCTTCGCCCTGACCGCAGCCAGTCGCACCCGAACCCTTCTTCTTCTGTTACTCCTTTGTCTCCTGCACCGTTCTCGTCAAACTCTCAATCGCCGACGCATCCATTGTCTTTTCCGCCCCAAAACCAACAAACTCACAATCACGACACGATGGCTGCGCGGGTTGCATTCACGGGAGCCCGAAGCGTCTTCGCGGCTCCCGCCACCATGCGCAACTTCCACGCGACTGCTCGATCTCTCTCCGACGCTGCTGCTGCTGCACCGCTGCCCGTCCGCAAGCCCGTTGGCGCCTTCCGTGGCGGGTGAGTTATCTACTCCCATCACCAGTAGTTGTTGTTCGAGATATCGCTAACCTGATCTCTCTGAACAGCCTCTTCGGCTTCCTCCTCGGCACCACTCTTGCCGGCGGCGGTGTCTACGGATACACCCTGTTAGTCTCCCGAGCACGCGACATGCCCAGCTACTCGAAATATCCCCCCCCGATACTCATCGACCGACTAACGAATAATCTGCACAGGAGAGAATACAAGGCCTCGAACGAGCTGTTGACGGAAGACATCTATGTGCGTTATTGCATCTAGTTCCG